TGTGAGCTCATTCTCCACTTCAGCGCAGTGCTTAATGCTGTATTTATTGATGCATTTAGTTGTTGGATGTTACTTAACATCAATGTGTGAAAGATTGGTATTTTCAAAAAACACACAACAGGGAAAGGCCAAATTGATCAGCACATTACTAAGAGCTGTTGGCAGGGTTTACCAAAAGCCTGCTGGGTCTTTGAGAGAATTTAATTCAAACAATAGAAGTAGAATCAATGGCATCTAGATCACATTTCTCACCGTCTTTAACCACTCGTAATGTCGCAGCACTATCATTACTGAAAGTCTATACTGAAGTTAGAGACCGAAAAAACGATGCTAAAGCCAGACACAAGACGCTAGAGCTGAATGTACTCAAACCTCCAGGGGGCGATAAAGATAAATTCAAACACTTTTTTTTTCTTATTGACATTAAACTGAACAAAAGTGACAGAATAATGTTACAAAATATTTCTATTACAAATAAATGCTGTTCTTTTGAACTCTATTCATCAAATGATGCTGGAAAAAAATGATCCTGGTTTCCACAAAAATATTAAGCAACACAACTTTTATAATAAAAAGTATAATAATAATCAGCTTGTTATAGAATGATTTCTGAAGGATCATCTGACACTGAAGACTGGAGTTATGATGCTGAACATCCAGCTTTAGTTATTAGAAATTTTAACAATATTACAGTTTTACTGTATTTTTCATGAAAGAAAATGCATCCTTGTTAAGTATAAGAGACTTATTTCAAAAACATTCAAAAATCTTATCAACCCCAAACTTTGGAACTGTATATATGTGCCACTAAACTGGAGGTTTTAATTTTCACCTGAAAGAGAAGACATGCTAAAACAGGTTTGATGTCAGATGCAAAGGCATTAGAAAATGCAACAAGTATCACAAATCTTATTGGCCTCAGTGCAAAGGTGACATATTACATGTTGTAACATGTAGTTATATAGTAATAACAGTAAATGATGCATAATTACAAGTAACTATCCCTAAACCAAACCCTAACCGTAACATAATAAGCACATGTAGTTAATTAACTTTATTTGAGTAAGTCAAATGTAACTACATCACTAACTCATTTACTAACCCTAATGCTTGTTCTAAACCTGCGACTTACTTTCTCTTGTGGATTTAAAAAAATATATATATATCTTGGAATATCTTACATTTTTTTAATTAAATTAAACAATGGCTAGAGCCAGCTCCAATTAACACAATTAGGTTACACAAATTCGTTTGATCAGAAATACAGTAAAAGCTGAAATATTGTGAAATGTTGTTATAATTTACAATCACTGATATCTATTTTAATATTCATTCCTGTGTATTTTGTGATGACAAAAGCATTCTTTGATGAATATAAAGGTCAAAAGAACAGCATTTATTTGTAATTAAAATATTTTGTAACATTTTAAATGTCTTTACTATGACCTTTGTTAAATGTAATGCCTCTTTGCTGGATAAATGTATTGAATTATTTCAGAAAAAAAAAGTTTTGTGTGAATTTTATGACTGCATGGACTGTTTTATAGTGCTTTTGTCCCTTTAAAAGCTTGAAAGCCACACTGTATTCAGTCTACGGAAAAGAGCAGAGTGAACATTCGGTGTCACTTCTTTTAAATCCACTGGAATAAAGTCACATGGGGTTTGTAACTGCATGAGGGTTTTAAAAATGACAGAATTTTTCTTTTTCTCTGAGCTACTTCTTGGCCACAGTATGAATCCACGCCAACCAAGGATCGCGTTTCTTGTTCCTGTTCCGCACAAAGACCAGTACCTGCTCATTATTTTCTGCCCTATCGATGTTACACGCAATTTCAAGACAGATTTGTTCCGTTTCTGTGACTCGTCCAATGAGCACTCAGGAAAATTCGGCATCTTTCTTCGACCAAATCTCAGTTGGTCCCGCACGTCTGCCGCTCACCGCCCAGCAGAGGCCCGGTGCACATCGGAAATTGTTCTCACAAAGCCGTATGAATAGGAAATGGGAACGTTTCTTTCCCTTCTTGTGGTGTGACACTAATTTGCTTCCCCTTGCACTTCCAAGGCAATTAGCTTTGAAGCTTTTCAGAAGCTATTCTAGCCCAAGTCGATAGCTAGCGTGGAGAATACGAATTTAAGCAGGTCCACTGGGGGAGGCTAGATAAACATATCAACAGAAGGAGGAGAAACCAGAGAGAGAGAAAAAAGTGAAGGGAGGGGGGTGCAAAAGAAATATAATTACTCCAACTGCTCGCCTGTATGCTTGGCCTTCATTACTGGGCATCAGTTTCATGCTAAATTCACTTCCTAGCAATTTGCCTCAGAGCCAAAGCACAAGCACCAGACAGTGTAAACAAAAACTTTACTGACGGCTTGGGCAAAACGCCACCGCTGAAAACATGGTGAACGAGGAGAGAAAGCTAAACGAGAATTCGCCAATGTGTTCGGCCCACACTAACTTGTGATCTGTTGTCTCAATAATAGTTACTGGAAACGAAGGTCACAAAGTGTTGACAGTATATTGTTTTATAATGACCAGAACCATATGAAATCTGAGCATAAAGAACTCGGCAGATACATCTGCAAATTTCCACACCCGTCGTTCACGTTCCTTGCTCGGATGATTGGACCTATAATGCTTTTTTTATATTTTCAACTTTCTTTAGTGCTTACTGTTGCTGTTTGAACATGAAAACTGTCTGCAAAGTTACAGAGCACAAAGTCCGTCCATCGGGAGTTCACTGATGAGTGTCACAACTCCCTGAAACGCCTCCATTGTAGTCTTAAATTTTCTTCCGGGAACAAACACGTCACAGTATTCCTCATTTAAATAATTACCAAGGCATATGCAAAAAAAAAAAAAAAAAAATTTGTAGTTTGTTGAAACTCACATTGTTTTATGGTAAGGGGCGTGACATTTACGAAATAAACTCGAAGCAGCTGACCAATCAAAACACACTGGCCCAGCTAGCCAATCAGAGCACATTGTGCTTTTCAAAAGGAGGGCAACAGGAACTAAACAGAGAGTGTTACTTACAGACTGGGAAGAGAGGTGCTGTAACAATGTCAAATATGTGAAAAAATAATGTGTTTTCTGAACATTCAAGCATGCAAACCTATTCAAGTAGACTCCAAAAACAACTTTACAGTAAGGTTTAGTTCAGTAACATTCGTTCATGCATTAAATTAACAAATAATGTTTACAAAGCATTTTTTAATCCAGGTTAATGCTAATTTCAATTTGCATAAATATAGCAATAAATTGTTAATTCACTAAAAACAAACATGCATTAACAATGAAAAATAGTATAGATCTAAATTAATATTAATCTATATACCGTAAATTAATGCTGTAAAAAATGTAATTGTTCCTGATACCTAATACATTGTAAATTGTTGTCAAATACATTGTCTAAAATATCAACGATGAAAAAAATGCAGATGAGCGAAGATTTTTTTTTTCTTTCTTTTTTTTGGGGAGAATGTAGGAAAACAAATCATTGCGATCTCAACTCAGTTGTTTCTCTCAGTCAGCGTTGAGGTTAAATGAAGACTTTTGCTCATGTTTCCATCTTTTCAGATGTTTCTCCTGAAAAAAAAAAAAAAGAAGACCTGAACTTGAACTTAAAGTTCAAGAATTTAATATGAACACAAACATTTAAATTCTAATCAAAATCAATATTTGGTGATATTTCACAGACCAATCTCCTGAGCAATAAAACTGCTTAATGAGCATAAACACATGGTAGAAGAAGCTCTTGCTAAATCTCCCCATCAAATAAATGTAGCATTTGAAGACGAGTCAATCTAGCGAGGAACAAAACAAGGCACAAACATGCACAATTTAAAACATTTATTGCAGTAGCGGTATACCTGTAGAGCAGTAACAAGGAGTAACTGTTTAATATCTATGATGGCAAACGTCCCCACAACCAACAAACATACTGCTGAAAGCAACTCACACCACTCTTGTCTCTTTTCATATAGTTTTTTATACCCTTTTTTGGACTTTAAATATTGTGATCAAACATAAAAGTGCTATACAAAATGAATGACCTCACTGCGTTACAAATCAATAATCATCAACCCAATGAAAAGAAGGTGAAACTAAGTCATTTTAAAGCTATTTTGTCTCGGTAAGCATGCGGTTTCATCGTCTGAACTGGCTGCCATGCCATGTGACAAGAAGGGAAAAAAAGAACGGCCCAAACATTTAAAGAAAAAACAGAAATCAAACTGAAATCTCAGTCCTTGTATAATGCACATGCTCTTTTGATCACGTTTTTTCTTTTTTTTTTCTTTTTTTTAATACCTTCCCCAGTTTGGACAGTGCATTTTTTATTTATTTACTCTTCCTCTGGAATGACTGAGTATACTGGCGCCTGACAAACATTTACTGTGTCCGGCATTCAGAGACTAGGGCCTGCTGATGTTTCACTGCCGGCGATTGTTTAGATCGGTACGATACGTAGCATATGTCATGAATTCACAGACATGAAAACTACACTCTCTTGCGTCAAAAAATCGTGGGCATACACGATGTTTTATGAAAGAAAAAGTTTTTTTTTTTTCTCAAATACTACTCAATTAAAGCACGAGTTCAATTAAACATGTACAAGAATGACATTTGAAATTAGATGTCGAGAATTTACAAATATATTGCTGTTGAATTGTAACATCGGTCTTCTTTTTTTTTTAGGAAAAGACATCAAGCTTTCCGTGTCAGTAAGTAGAAATTGAGCATTTACATCAATAATACAAAATAGCTTTGAAAAAATAAGTTTGCCAGGTTCATCGACTCAGTAAATGCAAAAAACTGGGCAATTGTGCAATGTTATGACCGATTGATATTATCATCCAGGATTCGTTCGTTAATTCTCCTACAGAGTGTGTGTGTGTGCGTGTTTAAGTGTGTAACCATGTGTACGTTTGCTTTACAGATCCAGACTGTGGTCCTCTGTTCCAGAAGACAATGACGTCAATGACAAAAGGCCGATATGATGAATGATAAAAGACAGCTGTCATGTTCACTGATCTATTCCATGTGATTATTACAAGTACATAAAATCGGTTAGTATTAAGTCCTATTTACAAACACTTCAACGATGACAGACTAAACGATACTAACAGTGTTAATAAGCACAAAGCTTTCTCAGTTTGTAGATTCCATTTTCTCGGATGGTGTAGATTAATATAGTTCCAAAACAGCTCAAAAACAATCACGTCACAATATTTGTATATATTGGTCAGCCGTTATATTGTTGTTGTTTTTTTTTCGTTTTTTTTTTTTTTTTTTATAACCGTGATACATAGAGCACAGCCCTGTTTTGTTTATCCTGAACGTTTGTTTGCAGTCTCTGTTCAGGACGAAGTATAAGATGATCCATTTTAATGTGAATTTGCAGCAAACCATGAGAGTTTGATGGCAGTTATGGATTTGCATGAGAAGATCCCGCAGACGGGCCGTCGGCGAGGCGGATTCGCATAGTATACTGTCCTGCATAAGCGATAAAGTCTATGTCTACTCCATACACGTAACTAACACACCGCATAGGCATCGATCTAAGAAAAGGAGGAATGGGCTAAAGCTCTCAAAAGTTGCTGGGATGATCCGATAGAGAGAGAGAGAGAGAGAGAGAGAGAGAAGACGGACACAAAATGAACCCCAAAAACACTCTTAAAGCTGCTGTTCTTTAGGACTGTCGTGGCCAGAGGCGGGCTGGTAAGATTTCAGGCTAGCTAGTGGGATGTCGGCCATGTGACCGCCGCTGCCAAAATGTCCTTCCGAGCTCCCGTAGGTCTTCCTGTCCCCAAACTGCTCCTGGCTTCCACGCTCACCTTTCCAGCTGCGGGTCAGTGTGTGGCCATTGAGCAGTCTCTCTTTAGCCCACTCCTTTTGGTTGTTGAAAGAGGAAACGGGGGACTTGGGCGAAGGGTACGAGCTCAGGCTCGGAGGCATCCAGCAGTTGTCGGAGTGGCCCAACACCAGACACTCTTGGGTGCACATCTCTGTGGCCTCCACCAAGCCTCTCGGTCCTAGAGGTCCATCTGTGGACACAAACAGAGCGAAAACACTTGGGATTGTGTGTCGAGTTCACAACTTCCAAAGCATATAGACCTAGAGTGAATGAAAATGAAGCTGTATGAGATGAACATGATGTCTTAAAGGCTTGCATCATATCTAATTTCCTAAAAAACAACAACACATGCTGAAAAAAGAGACAACTGAAAATAACACTGACATTCCACCCACACCAGGACGCAAAGTGCATTGTGGGAATCGATGTGGTATCATGGGCTCAACTGCACTGTGTCAAATATAATCAAGAATATAATGAAGATAATCCTTAAGGAGTCATTTAGCATTTGCAACATGCCGGTCTGTGTGTTTATTTAATCATGGTTGGACAGAATTAACATAAAATGAGTCAATTTGAACTATTCTAGTTCTCAAAAACACATTAAAAGATACCGTGAGTACAGTAAAGCGTCATTAAAGTTGCAGGCTATTCATGATAAATCCCCACAAGCAAATGTCTCATGTAGAGAGACAACAGAAAAAGAAAGGAAAAATCAACCAAAAAAAAGGATTAATAATAATAATAGTATAATGTATTATTGAAAAATGTAAATAGAAAAATACTGTTTTAAACATTAACTATAACACGATATGAACAATATTCATTTATCGAATTCATAATTAATTGCCAAAATGAAGATAATTCAAAGATGCTACATTGTTGTGACAGATTAATTAAACCGTCAATGTATTGTTTGTTTTACTTCCACATGATTGAAAATAAACCGATCACTGCATTTTCAGACAACTTGACTGTGTTGAGCAAAACTTACATCTGGACAACTGAATGGTTTTTGCAATGTTCCTATGAGTGTTAAAACCAAAAATGTGTGTGTGTGACTAGACTGTGCCCTGGGCTGTTATCACAGACCGCTGGCTGAACTGTTCTCAGTCCAGCTTAAAAGATTCTCTCTCCCACCAGCTGCTGAGTGATAAAAAAAATCAGGCCTAAAGTTGATTTAAAAAGCAGCTTGAATGGCTAAATATAAAGTGGTGTGAGATTAACTCGATCACCTCATCTCTTCAAAGAAGAGCCCCGGTTCAGCGGTGTTTAGCAACACTGAATATCCCTTCTTTTCCTTATGTCAGTCACATCTGTCACACAAACAATCAAACAAAAAGCTTCCCGGCATTAAACACGTCGTTACGACCTGCATTCAAGCTAAACACTTTCATAATGCTGTAATGTAATACCGTTCTGTTGAAAACACACTTTCATTTTAACACCGGTCTGTGAATCCCAGACACAATGCATCTATTATTCATACACTTTGTGTAATACAATACTGTTTGGAGCACTAGGGTTTCAATTCTGCTTCTAATTTCCAGCATAACAACTAACATTTCGAACATTTCCTACAATGAACAAAGGGCTATGAAAAATGCATCGTAGAGGGAGATCAGAGATCGCTGATTTGTGTTTGCGAGAACTGTATGAACTGTATATGAAAGACAGCCACATGCTGTAGCCGGACGGAGCCGATGAATACATGGAATGGGGGAAAAGATGAGCGTCTGATGAGGGGGGGAAAAAGCCAAAGCGCCATGTCTCTACATAATTGGTGTGATAAGGCATAAGTGACTGCCAGAGTTACCGCAGGAAATGGAAGAATCGCTGAAGCAAGAGATTTTATGGCATCACTTTAAAATACATTGGGACAAAGGACAGATGACTAATACCAAGATGCAACACAAAACAGCGTTTGTTTTCTTGGTTAGTTCTATTTTCTAACCTATGAAGACATGCCAACATTCTCAATGGTTGTTGCTCTTGTATTTTCTCTTTAAGTATCAATCAAAGTTAGAGTCTCTTGAGTACGGGTGGGAATCGAAATAAATTGAGCCTAACCGTGATATGTTGTGTGTTTGTTTGTATGGGTTCTATTGTTACAACCAACCTGATCTCACAAGAACATGTAGCTATGTTATTTTGTGGCAAATTTGTACAATGTAGAGTCGTACAAAACATATGATTATTAGAAAACAAAATAAGTATGAAGGTCCGACCCTGACCAGAGAAGAAGAAGAGGTTCTCCATGATCAACCCTCCTCTGGAGTTAATCTATTCCTAACATGGCAGCTTCATTCCCCTCTTGTCATCAAGCCAATAACATGGGCCATTTGGTGCTTCAGTGTCCCATAAACCAGCGTTAGATTCGGCCCTCGTCTCTCATCGGGACTTAGGCTCCATACCTGCTCCTGAACGAGAGGCCAGAATCGATCTTTCCATCACTCTGACATGTTTGTGTGAGTAGCACGCAATGCAAATAATGGCACAAAGTCTGATTTACATCCATAACGTGTGATACAAATGTGGAATAATGCAGCAACAATCACATCAGCAACAAATAATAATGAATCCACAATACACGCTGACGTTCAGAGATTTTTTGTCACTTTTTTTTTCCACAAGGCGTACTGTATGCGCGTGCCATTTATAGAAGCCAGCCCTATTTCCACATGAATTTAAATATTTATCCCCGGAGGGAGACCTGTCACTCCCGTCTTTTATCAAGGGAAAATAAACTAACTGTAGAAGGAACAGCCTCCCCACATTCAGACATATGTGTTTATTACAACGTGATGGCAATGTTGAAAGGAGTTTGTTATTTTTGGGGCTGCCACTCTGTAATTTTCAGGCTCCTGCAGGCATTCAGCATGTTTAATCTACCAGATGGAGTCAAAATGGTTTAATTGCTACTACCACTCCCTTCGAAGTAAATGAGGAAACGGTATTACTGTATGTCCTGGTTGTGGAGCCGCTACCAAGTTTCTGTTGTACAATTACAGTGGCATCAGAGCTTTAGCCTGACCACCTGCGTAGAGGATGAAATCAACCAAAGTTCACTTTTTCAGTGACGTAAATCCAGAACTGGCCAAAACGCATTGGTGTGCTCACTGAATATTATACATTTATATTTAATATTAAATTGCTCAATGCCATGTCAGCACCAAAGGATATATATATATTTAGCCTATATATATATACACACACACACACACACACAATTCTGTTTTTATGTTTTTGTTCTCTTATGGTCTTACTCAAAAATACACTAAAATCAGTAATATTGAGAATTGTTTCTATATTAATGAATTTATTTCTGTGATGCAAAGCTGAATTTTCAGCATCATTACTCCAGTCTTCAGTGTCACATGATCCTTCAGAAATCATTCTAATATGTGGATTTGCTGCTCAAGGAATATTTTCTTATTATTATAAATGTTGAAAACAGCTGTGCTGCTTAATTTTTTATTCCAGAAACTATGATGCATTTTTTCCCCAGTATTTTTTAATCAATAGAAAGTTCAAGAGAAGCATTTATTTTAAATATAAATGTTTTGGCACATTTGGCACATTTTCTTGCATACTTGAACAAAAGCATTATTGCTTTTAGTTATTTGGTTTTTTGAAAGAAATATAATCAGATCCCCTTTCAAATTGAAGAATTTCAAAATCCTTTACGCAACACATAAAACCTATTCCCTAAAGAATTTCCTCAATGAATGAAGAACAGTACAGTTCCAATGTCATGAACCTCCCAAACTCTGGCAGCTCCAGCTAATTTTTGCTTATTTGAACTGTTTTTGGAACTTAAAAACATTTGTTTCCTGGCATAATGATAAAGCCTCTCCACCCTGACTCGGGGTAATTGCGTCGTGCCAGCCAATCAGATTGGAGCTTACCATTTTGGAAAAGCCCATTTTGAGCACAATATTAGACAGTGCACTGATGGTCTGTGAGTCCTTGCCTTCCCCTTCCCCACAAACCGCCCGCACATCACTGAGCTAGACACAGTCCATCCCTATCACTCCTCTAATGGTCTCTGAGGAGGCATAGGAGCATGGCATTATGGGACTGACATGAGGAATCATGAGGGATGAATTAGAGACTGAGTCACAGTGACAGGAAAATGAATTTCACAAATGAGATTGGAAAGAGAGAGGGCGCTGAGAACGAGAGGAGAGAGAGAGAGGGAGAGTGTGTGTCTCTGTTTGAACTTGCCCCACATTTCCTGCTACAGCAGTGTATTATGTGTGTGAGAGCTTTCAAACCACAGTAACTTTATGGTGAATTTGAGAGGATTTTCTGATTTTTGACAGACAACCCTTGTGCACCACAGGAAATGGAGGAAGATATAAAAAGGGAGGAAACACACTTCACAGAAGAAAACAATTTCACACTCAAACTCCAACGATGAAATGCATTTCCTTTATTTAAAAAAGCTGCTCTTTTGAATGAGTTTCCTGTTCAAAAGACTGTATTTCAAGCACCTGAGGTTACTCAACTGGTCTGCATATAAAGTGCTGTGTTCAGTGACGACAATTATGAAAGAAAGAGAGAGAGAGAGAGGGAGAGTGAGGGAGAGGGAGGACGATTTTCACATTTGCTGAAGGAGATGTGAGTAGTGCTTGCCACTGCAAAAAAAATCCCCGGCAGGATGCTACTTTGTGCTGGTGGATGGATGCAAATTTTTTTTTTTTAGCGAGTTGCTTTGCTAGAGTGTTTTGATTAGTTGTCCACCCTCATGTCCTAATGATATTCTGGTGCCGAGATATGATTAGAACGTGTTGCTGAGTGGTTGCTATGGTGTTCTGAGTGTTTTAGTATTTAGCTGTGGTGTTATGGGTGGTTAGGCAATGTTATCGAAATATCATCAGAAGCATCAGCCAGGATCAAGAGGCCACATCAAGAGGATTTGGCATTTTCAATTAAATTATTATTATTATTACTTTTATTATTAAATTAATTAATTTGCCCCACTATAATTTTATAGCGCATCACCGCATAACCGACAAGGATAATAAAAGATGTTAGATTAGCCTTACTCCTCAATTCAAAAATAACTTGTTTAACACGGAATAATTCTCTTCCCATTTTTTCACTATGGGCTGCAAGAGAAATATTAAGAAAGACAGTTATATTGTGTCGAGGTATGGATTATTGATTGAAACGCGGTAGCTAGGA